CCCCGACCCCCCGCCCTCACCGAGGCGCGCCTCGCGCGGGGGGTTCTCCATCAGCTTCCTCAGGACCAGTGGGAAAGAGCCCGGCAGGCCCCTTTCCCCAGCTGCGCGCCCCAGCCCCGGGCCTGGCCCCGCCTGCGGCTGCACAGGCGGCTTCTTTCCGCCGACCGCGTCGGACATCGTGGCCCACGCTCTGCTCGCCCGTCTCACCTCCCCCGCCCGCCCCCCGAAAAGGGCCGGAGCCGCGCGACCCGCCGCAGCTGCCTACAGGGGCAGCTACTGCGCAAGCGCCCAATAGCTCCCCCGCCTCCCTCCATCCCTACCCCGCCTGCTGACAGGCTCCGGTATATTAATTATACATGAAGCCAGGCCAGCTGCCCCGGACCGTGGCCTTGGATTGGCCTACCCTGCGAGGAAGGCGGGAGCAGCCTTCTGGACCGTGATTGGTTAGGCTGCCTGGGTAAGCGAGACACGTGCCGGGCCAGGTGAGGAGCAACGCCGGAGGCCCATCCCGGTCCGCCCGTGTCACCTGATTGGCGCGTGCTGGAGTCTGTGTCATAGGCCCTCTTCGGCGGCAGCTCCTTCCCCTCTACCAGACGTTTCACCTTCGCCTTCCTCTTCATAACCCCTGCTATCCTCCCAGACCACCGTAACCGCTCTCCCTTCCCTCTCATCCTAATCTCGTCAACCCCGCGCCACTGAAGGGAGGCGGGGCTGGGAGCGGCCGGGCTGGCCCGGGGAGCCTATCAGAAAGCCCATTCGGGTCGCATGGCCCTCCCCCCGCGGATCACGTGGAGCCCCAGCCGAGTCTAGTCGCGTTGGGAGGGAGAAGTGGGGGGGGGAAGGCGCAGAGCAGCCAATGGAGGACGGGGGCGGGGCCCGGGTTGGTGCACGAGGCGCAGCACGTGCGGGGCTGCGGCGGGGAGGGAAGAGGAGGGAAGGGGAGGGCTCCTTTGTACTGGGGCTGCTTCCCGGGTCTTGGGGCCAGGACGCAGAGCTGAGCCCGCACCCTTCCTCCCTGGCGACCCAGAGGTTGGCTGAGGGCAGGGCGGCGGACGATGACCTGCCCTTCCCTTAAGGATGGCTGGAGCAGGCTTGGCCGCCGCTGAAGCGGGGTGTCGGGTTCCTTACTGATCCCGGGTTTCTGGTGTGGGCGTGGCGGCCAGATAAACACTAGCATGAAGGGAGCATTTTTGAGGTCGGAGCGGGGGTGGGGATGGGGGTGGGGGTTGGGAGAGAAAGGGTCCAGCCCTGAGCCTTTGCCGGGGTACACGCTTTTGTCCTCCCGCTTACTAGCTGTGACCTTGGGGAAGTCCAGTTGCCTCACTTAAGCCAGTTTCCTTATTTACAAAACTAAGGGGTTGGACTAGATAATCTCTAAAGTCCTGAACATCTCTGCAATTCTGTTCCTCTCTAGGACCGTTCCATCCTTCTCCTAGGGACAAATAACTAAACTCCTTTTTATATATTTTGTGGGAGAACCACCTCCTCTCTGAAAATACAGGCCCCCCCCCCAGGAGTTCCTCAGGAAACCGAAAATGTAAAACGTGAGGGGTACACAAATGTGGAAATGTTGTATGGAGCAGCTCCCAAACAGCACCGAGAACTTTGTACCTCTTTATAGCACAAATCATACTCTGCTTTGCACCCAAACAATACTAGACCCTCCCTGCCTAAACTCCCAGAGGGCAGGGACTTCGGCCTGTTTATCCTGCATCCTGCCAATGGCCGTGACCTTCCAGTATCGCAGCTGGGGGAATG